ACAGTATGTATGTATGTATGTATGTCAAAGCTTTTGAAAACTTCCCGTTATGTGTATGTGTGTGTGTGCTCATGTTTCTGTGATTGTGAGGAATGTAGTCATCCAGGTGGTGATTGTGCAGGAAACGCGTGTGCTGAAGACTTATGTTTTAATGAATCATGCTGCAGCTATTTTTAGCCGGATGAGGTCAGGGGCCATGTGTGCTGCGGGAATTGTGGAATCCTTTGCCGGGCAATTCATCTCGCCAGCTCTGAAAATCCCATTTATGTTAAAAAAAACAAAGTGACACATAAGGCTTGAGTGGAATATAAATATATTATTTTGTTATTTAAAAAAACAATTAAAGAAAAACCAGCTTGAATGGAAAAGGTGGATGAGAGCCCAGTTATAGTCCTCTCATTACTGGTTATTCATAACACTCACTATTCACTAAGAAGTAGTTCAACTTCTAACTTAACCTGCTTAAAAGTAGCAATACTTATGTACTTTGTAAAGTATCGACGTCCGATTTAGCAGCAGGGCCAGATCATCAAACCTCGGCTCGCTTTATTCAATGTGTGATAGTGAACGCACTAGCACACTGACCCGCTTCCAACGTTGCTCTCACTCCCTTCACCGCCCTTAACTTCTCATTTCCTCGTTGCCGTTTCCTTCCTCCCCCCCACTTCCAGGACATGACAGCCAGGGATCTTCTCCAGCAGAGGTACACTCTGCCCAATGGAGACACGGCGTGGAGGCCGTCCCCACTGGTCACCACTGCCATTGAGGGCAAGCTGCTGCTTCTGGACGGTATACACAGGGTCAACCTGGGAACCCTGGCTGTTCTGTCTAGGTACTTTAGTTTGCTAAAAATATACAATTTACTCTTTTTACTCACTGTGTTATCTTTTTGAATGCTAAGATATTATTGCTTGTAATATCCTCTGTATCCTGTGACGTCTTTTTGTAGTTCTTCACTGCTGCTCTGCTTGATTCTATTCAGCTTTAAAATATTTGAATGTGAAGGAATTTGGTGCTGTAAATAACAAATGCAGATACACACACACACATTTCTCAGCTTATTCCACTGTGTTTTGTATCCCAGGTTGCTCCACGACAGGGAGCTGGATCTGTACGATGGGACCAGGCTCCTGAGGTGGGACAGATACCAGACACTAAAGGAACAACTGGAGTTCAGTGACCAGCAACTGCAAGAGAGGTACACACACACACACACACACACACACACACACACACACACACACACACTCACACACACAGGTCAGGACACAGATGTTTCTGTGTTGGAAAGGTCAGGAGCGTTTTAGGAGCATTTTTGAATCTGTAATTGCATCAGACATGGACGCACGAAGGCTGTGGGCTCTGGCTTTTCAAAGACAACAATGACTACATTCAGCATTAGCGCCACAACAGGAAGAAAAACTTAAAGTGAGGGTGGGGTAGAGACCAAAATAGTATTCCAGGTAAACCAAGAGTGACCTTCAGAGTGAGGATGCTGGCGTCTTTTGAAGGCTCTTTGTCTGACTTGTACAGAGTCCTAAATAGATTTACCGCTTACAGTAAATGAAGAGCAGAGTCATGCGTACTGTATGTTCGCGTTGAATCACAGGCCTCCCTTCCAGATTATTAGTATTGATACCATCCAACTTATTCTGAGCCTCCTGACAGGGAGGGAGCCTCACCAGGTGTTCAGACTGAAAATAGCCCAAAGTTGAGATAATTCATGGGTCTGCAGTGGTGGGGAGTGTTGAAAGTATGCTCTGGAAAGGCCAGTTTTTGCAATGGATTCATGAGTTTGAAGGCTTATTAGATAGCAGAGCACGTCCACTGGTTTATAAAACTGTGACACAGCACTTTACTTTGTTTTGCTGTTTTGCATTTTCATTTGCAATATATCATATGTGAATGACCGTTGCTTGGTCTTGACCTTAACTGTTCCCTGCATTTGAGTCATGAAGTATGTGTGCGCGTGTGTGCATGTGCGCGTTTGCGTGTGTGTGCGCGTGCCTGCACACACTTAAAAACCCACCTAAGCTGGCAGGAAGGATGTTTGTGGTGGGGCGTCTGGGCTGAAATAAACCCTCTTCCTCCACTCCTGTGGCTCAGAGCAAATGTGTGTTTGTGTGTGTGTGTGTTTATGTGTCCACCAGGATTTGATTGTGCATCACAATACAAGTTTCAGCTTTCATCTAGTTCCTGATGTAGCAAAGATAGCTATGACAAAGTCAGAGAAGGATGAGAACGAACCAGCGAGGTGTGTGTGTGTGTGTGTGTGTGTGTGTGTGTGTGTGTGTGTGTGTGTGTGTGTGTGTGTGTGTGTGTGTGT